TCGTCGGTGGTGTGTGTGTGTGTGTGTGTGTGTGTGTGTGTGTGTGTGTGTGTGTGTGTGTGTGTGTGTGTGTGTGTGTGTGTGTGTGTGTGTGTGTGTGTGTGTGTGTGTGTGTGTGTGTGTGTGTGTGTGTGTGTGTGTGTGTGTGTGTGTGTGTGTGTATAAGTATGTAAACCTCTTATAACTTTTGAACGGTTGAACCGATTTCATCGCGGTTGGTGCCGTTTGAAAGGGCTTCACTAAACTTAGATTTCCTGAAAATTTGAACTGATTCGGACCGATAGATTTTGAGAAATTTAGAGAAATCTCCAAAAAAATAGGAAAAAATAGGAAAAAAATTTTTTTCAGAAGTGGTTTTTTTAAAATAACTTTTAAACGGCTCTATCGATCACCATATTGTTTAAAATATGTCTTGTTTTTCAGCTGTAATAGGTTTCAAATGTATACAACCATCCTGGATCATTGTGTGAATGTGGAACAACAATTACTTTTATTGTAAGTTTATTCTTGGGACTCCATTGATCTTTGCCATACCCGATCTCCCAACCTTGTGTCCAAGCACCTCCATACGGATTGTCAAATTCTAATTGACTGTATAAATCTAACATCTGAATATCAACTTTAGGTATTTCTCGCATGTTGAGATTACAATTAATCTCTGCAAGTTCAGTTGAATTGTTTGTTGTGTATATTGAATCATATTTTATTGCATCGAATTCTTTTTGATTTTTAACAAAATCTTCTTCTAATTTAGTAATTTTATTCTTTATGTAATACCACTTAACCTATAAGTTAAAAATTTACATACTATTTAATAAAATATTTGGGTCATTCCACCAAATAAGAACATTTTTACGGGGCGACCCTCGCGGATTATGTTTAAAATTTATGAAGGTGTTCTCTATCATAAGACAAAAATTCCCTGAGAGTTTCAGCTCTTAATATGCATCGGTCTTGAAGTTATGATTTTTTGAAATTTTGGAAAAAATTTTTTTTCAACTTTTTCGTCAATTTTTCTGACATGAAAAACATTTTTAAACAAAATCAACAAACAATGTATTTTGTAGGAAAAATTCTCAGCTTTCAAATGAAAATATTTATTTTTTCATAAACTCATCAGAAGACCCTTAAAAATCGAATTAAAGTGGAAAAATTGATTTTTTTCGGTGTGCAGCCCAAAATTCTTCAAATTTGAATTTTTTTTCTGAAAGCTGAGTTTTTTACACAAAATATAGCGTTTTGCCGATGTGCATATTTTTTGTTTCGTCACAATTAAATTAAACGCAAATTCATTATAATTAAAATACTTTTATTTTTGAACTTTTTTGAGATGTGGACACAGTTTTAATGAAAGCATAACCAATTTCATCTTTTAGAGGCACAAAAGTGTGTAATGACTGTGTACCTTTCACCGTTTTCTATTGCGAATATCGTACGTCTAACACATTTTTTTTTATTAAATAATCGTCATTAGCTATAAAAGTAAAGTCAACGCTTGTAAAATTTTTCGTTCCCCAGGAAAACAAATCTTGTGGTGTCAGTATATGCTGTTTATTGGTCATTTGTAATGAAGCTCTAGCAGCATATCACTTTAATGAACCTGCAAGACCATCGCATGGTCCTTTGCCATGGGCAGTTGCAAAAAAATGCCACTCAGCGTTGATTTCGAAGTCAGCATAATGATAACATAAGTTTGTAAATGCTTTCTTGTTTTTGAATTGTTGTGGAGCTCCATCGGAGAAATAAAAAATCGTATTGATGACAGCAAACTTCTTTTTTAAGAAAGGCAATCAATTGCTCTTGAAATAAATAAATTAAAACTGTGTCGTGCTTAAGACAATCTGAAATACCAACAAAGCTCAAATGCTTAATAGTATCATTTTCGTTATAATCAGAGCCTGGAAGTTGGGGCAAATTAACATATAAAACAAAAGAGAGCGAAACGATATTTTGCCCCAACTTCCAGAGCCTGGTTATAATAAATCACCATTGGAAATATAGTAGCTTGATCATTATTCCAATGGAAGCCTTGAGCTGCTTCCTGCACAACGAATGCATAATTTTCTGCAAAGTCAAATACTACGGCGAATTCCCCGCTCTTTAAATTTAGTTTTGTATCAGAAAAAAATCGACTTTGTGTTTTCGCAATAAAATCATGTTTCAAAAGCTTATTAAGTTGCGTTACTAAAGCCTCGATGAAGTCTTCGGAATCTGATGTAACATTCACAATAGGACAACGGTCTGTTGATGTCCACATTTTATATTGGATTTCATTAACATCAGATTCATTAAAAGACACACGACAATAATCAACGATTTCTTCATTATTTGGACAACTATTGCACATTCTGGAAAAGCACGATTCGTTTGGATTGTTACAAACTAATTTATTTAATAAATTTTTGTAAATTGGCTGAGATTCTACAACCCAATCGGTATTTTCCGCAAATTTTGGAAAATTACATCCTAAATGAAATAAATGTAATAAGATTAATAACTAGTTTTAGTGCAATTATAAAGAATGTCAAATACACAAGTACCTTCTAACATCAATTTTACATTTTAATGAATAGTACAAACACACGACATGTGTACCACTACTTCCAGCAAGAATACAATGAGTAGGCCTCAAGCTAGCGAATTTAGAAAATCCGATTGCCACTGAATTATATTGCGCTTTGAAGCTTTGGTACAATTCTTTTAAATTACAAAGAATCAACTTTTTTGTACCCTAGTTCGATTTCCATCACAATTCTTTACAGATTTAAAATCTTTCATGCCCGCTGATTGTTTTGAGTTTTCTTCGCTTTCATAAAAATCAATTACAAGTTTTTTTACATCTAACTTAAGCGGCTGATTGCCTGGAGCTTTTGTGGGATTCGAAGTATTGTAAGATCAAACGTTTGATCAAAATTATATGTAATGTCTCGTTCGAAGATGATAATATTGTAGTTATGCTTGTCATGCTTAAAGTCACAACGTTTAACGCATAAGAATTTTAAAAGGCGCGCAGTAGCCTATCGGATCCGGCCCTTGCTACCAAAGCATTGGACCGGGTTCGAATCCGGCGTACACCAATGAATATTTTCAATATTTAAGTGTATATTATTCTGCTCAGCCCAAGAAATACAAACGAGTTCCAATCTCAAAAGTGTACCCCCTACCGTAGTCGCTCATGACCTTAGTAGTTTATGCGACTTTAAACAAATTTAAAAAAAAAAAAAAAAAAAAAAATTTTAAAAGTGGCGCTCTCCCGCCATACTGGCCGCTCGCCAGGCCCTCTACCCTCATATTGTTTTGTGGTGTGTCAGGAATTGCCACTGCACCAAGATGATAGCGGGCTTAATCTAATTATTTGGGTTAGAAAGTGGTGGGAATCTATCATCTTCGAACGAGACATTACATATAATTTTGATCAAACTTCGCCGGCCTTCGGCCGGCTCGTTTGATCTTACAATTATATTATATGTCTCGTTCTCGATGATAATATTATAGATCTTTAGAGCTCTGTGAAAATTCCTAGTCTATTTAATTAACTGCTCTTTTTTTTTTTTTTTAAACACAAACATTTATTAAATGAAATTATAAATGAAGTAAGAAAATTATTAATAAAACAAAAGCTTGCTTAGATTTTTTCCAAAATTGCCCGTGCAAATTGACTATTAGGAGCCTGAATGGGCTTATTATAAAATTTAAAAAAGGTCTGAGAATTTGGTGTCCAACCCGCGCATCGTCGTATTGTCGAAATATCCACACCCCGTTTGTGGGCAGTTGAGACCGCTGCATGCCGTGTGCTATATGCACTAAATTGATTTGTATCTACTCCTGCCTTTCGCAGGAGTGACTTTATCCAGTGGCCGATGGTTTGCGATGAGGCTGGTCCGTATGGTTTTGTAGATCCAATAAATAAAGTCTTCGTCTCACTACTTCTTAATTCTTTAGTAATATCAATATAATCTAAAACTGCTGATGCCACATAAAGCCCTGGTCTATCTCTGTAGAATGGCAATACAAGTTCCCGATATTCAGATCCAGGTTTTGTCGTTTTTGTTAGCTCCGTAATTTTTATTTTTATCTCAGTTTTTGTTCTTTCTATATTCTCTATTCTCACCAATGCTAGAGTTTGAAGTCTTTGAGCTGTAGTTAATGCCAACAAGGTTGCTACCTTTTCAGCAGCTTCTTTCAATTTAAATTGACTAAGAGGATGCATTTTTTCTATATATTTCAGCACCGGGACCACGTCCCATGTTGAATTATATTTTGGTTTGGATGGTCTTTGTTTAAATACACTTTTCAAGAAACGTCATATCAGGCCATCATTGTTAATATCGTAAGCTGATATTAAAGATATCGTAGATCTAGCAGTGTTGAGAGTAGTATAGCTTGCTCCTTCCTTAAACAGGTTGTTCAGGAATTGAATGATATCAGTAGTTTTTGAATTATACAAGTTGATATTATTAAGACGCGCAAACGACCACCATCGTTTTAGATTAGACTCGTATTGCTTCAACGTGGACTTTGTGATTGAATTTATCATCATATCTGCAGCTTCATCCGAAAGTCCTTTCTTTGTGTATGCCTCCCTGACAACTTCCCTGCCGCCAGGGAAAGGTGGGACGACAGTGGATGGCTGATGTTTCTGAAAGGAGAAATTAGTAGGTTGGATCGTGGTCTAAACAGAATAGGTGGTTCTATGAGGAGAGATGTAAACAGAGGGTACCATGGCTGTGTCGGCCAAACTGGTACTACTAAGACACCAACTGCTTGGTCATTAATTATTTTTCTAAGGACACGTAAAATAATCGCGAACGGAGGAAAGGCATAGAAGTATTGACTTGTCCAAGATGTAGTAAAGGCATCAACTAGCTTCGCTTCTGGGTAAGGAAATCTCGAGAAAAAAATTTTACATTTTTTTTTTTTTTAATCTAGAAGCAAATAGATCGACTGAGAATGGGCCGAACTTCTCGTCAATTTGTTCGAACGCAGTTCGAGCGAGCTCCCATTCGGAGTCAACATTGTCATAACGCGAAGCTCTATCTGCTTCAACATTTTTTGCTGATGGTATGTATGATGCTTTCAACCATAGGTGTCTTTTTTCACACCACTCCCAGATTTTTCTGGAGAGTTCACTAAGATGCGGATATTGAACACCTCCTGCTCTATTTATGTACGCTATAGCCGTCGTGTTGTCTAAGCGTAACAAAAATTCCTGATTTGACAGTTTTGAGGCGAAACATTTTATTGCAAAGAAAGCCGCCAATAATTCAAGATAATTTATGTGATTTTTTCTCTCTTCTTTGTTCCAAAACCCGAAAGCCTCTTTGCCTTCACAGTAACAACCCCATCCGGATAAGGATGAGTCCGAAAAAATTTCAAGTGTATATTTATAAGTCCTAATTGGGCACGAACCAATAATAGTATTAATTCTCCACCAAGCCAGTCCAAGCCAGTCCAGGTCTTCCATCATCGAATCGGTTATTAGTATTTTTCTCTCATAATTACCGCCGTTAAATTTTAAAGCTAGAAATTTTTGTCTTTCCAGGCGTTTACAATAAATAAAACCGTAAGCTACGGCTGGACAAGCAGATGTCAGCACCCCCAATAGTTCAGCAAATTTTCGTATTTTGTACATCTTACCAAATTTAAACTCTTCTAACAATTTAACTATCTGAGATTTCTTTTTATTTGGTAAATTTAAGGAGAAGTTAATTGTGTCAATAATGAAGCCTAAATACTTGCATTGCTGCTTTGCAATTAATGAACTTTTTTCATAATTAATAACTAAACCAAAGTATTCTAAAATTTTAACTGCTTCTTTCATATTATTTTCACAGCTATTTTTATATTTTTCAATAAAAAGAAAATCATCTAAGTATAATACAAGTATCATTCCTTTTAATCTTAAAATATTTACTATAGGCTTCATAACCTTTGTAAACGTATACGGGCTAGTGCAAAGCCCAAATGGTAGGCATAAAAACTGAAAAGTTTTTCCTTTGAATTTAAACCTTAAATATTTTTGATGCTCTACGAAAATAGATATAAGAAAATAAGCATCCTTAAGATCTATTGATCCTAAGAAATCGTTGGGAGATACTAAGCCTAGTGCAGACCTGATGTCCTCTAATTTAAAGTGTGGAGGCTCGATAAATTTATTTAATTCTTTTAAATTAAGAATAAATCTATTTGAGCCATCTGGCTTTGGTACCAGAAAATACGATGAGATGAACTGCCCTTCACAGTCCTCACATTCTTCGATAGCACCCTTTCTTAGCAACTTTTCAATTTCAAAATCTAATAGCCTTTCCTCCTCTAGTGCCCAAAATTTTTTCTTCTGGAATAAACATCTGAGTTGGTGTCTCAATAAATGGTATTTGATAACCACTTATGTAACTTAATATGTGTCTATCATTGGAAATCTCTTTCCTATGATCTCTCCACATAGAAAGATAAGCGACCAGCTGTTTTATTTACCTGTACTATTTCCTCGACGATGAGTGGCTCGTCGACCGCATTGCTGTCTTCGATGACGTACGCTGCGTCTTGTTCGACTTCGGTTTGAATTTCATGAAGCGTCTCTGTTGTTGACCCACCGGACGGTAAGTCGCCGGTGGGTACTTGGAGTTTCCCGAACTCTGAAATTTTTGAGACGATTTCAGAGGAGTCTTCTCCTTAATATCGGCGCAGGCTTTCTCAATTTCCTTGGCATCCTTGACGCTTTCTTTTAGCTTGTCTCCATATAGCCATTCATTGGAGATCATAGAATCCACCACTGGCTTGATATTTTTATTTAGCTGAGGAGTAATAAAAGATTTTCGGGCTTCTGTCTGTTGAAAAAATACATCAGTTAAAATCTGGCCTGCATGACTAATGTACGTGGTAAATAGATCCTCATCCAGGCCTTCTTTTGGAAGATCTAGTAGCAAAGACACTGCTGCCCCCAACGCCGAAATTGCCGTACCAACACAATTCTGTGTTTCTAAAAAATGTTGATCCCTCTTCTTAGCAATTTCTGATAAGAGAGGTACAACCTCAAGATTTATCTTGGGAGCTTCTGTGTAAAATTCCCCTTTTCTATTGTACGATTGGAGAATTTCTTTTTTATTTTTCTCAGGCAGCCCTTTCTTTTTCCACTCCAGCCAGGTTTCTTTTAATTCTGGGTGATGCTTTACATCTTTAAATGTGGAATCTTTTGCATCAAAACCCAAAATTTTTAAAATATCATCTCTTGATGATTCTGCCTCGGTGGTAGGATCTATTTTTCCGTTAGCCTCGTCTGACAGCGTCACTGTTTCCACTGGACTGTCTGTCTTGTCTGTGTTCTCCTTATTATCAGGATCTAAAATAGGAGAAATTTTTTACTGAATACATTTATAATAATGTAGCAGCACTTATTGTGCAACTTGTATGAGCGTTCTTATTGAACTTATTACAAGTTACTATAGATAGACATATGTGTCGGGTGTCGTATGGACTGGTCAATGTCGTATGGACATTGCCTCCCCCCTTTCGTGTGGAAAGATGGGGATTGATAGAGTAGTAAATAACTTTTTATGGAACTTACCATTATTATCTTTAGCTAAAGAATTCTCTTGTTGAGGATTTTTTGAAGCTAATTGTTCTTTCTGAATGTTGACGAGGACCGTGACCACCTTTGTTAGGTTAATCACGCGGTTTTCCAACTCATCTATTTTTTCATCTCTATGACGCTTGCGTCGTTCTCGGGATCTGGATCGGGATTTTGAGCATTTTTTCCCTTTGCGATCTGACATTTTTTATGTCTTAATTATTTTTTATTTAATTTTTATTTGATTATTTAATTGAGCGAAATGCGAAAAACGTTTCAACTCGTAAGCACAACGAAACAATATGAGGGTAGAGGGCCTGGCGAGCGGCCAGTATGGCGGGAGAGCGCCACTTTTAAAATTGTTATGCGTTAAAGGTTGTGACTTTAAGCATGACAAGCATGACTACAATATTATCATCGAGAACGAGACATATAATATAATTAGTAGTCATTTCTCCAGAGTCTAAATCAACATTCTCAGATTCACTGATATCATTTTTAAGATTCAGTACCATTTTTCGATAACAGTTAAATTCAGATGCTATATGACTGACTTCCCAACTGTCGGGTAAAATTGAAAGCAGCTTCTTTTTTATTGATCTGTAAAGCAAACGATCAATCGTATTAATATGAAAAAATGAAGATATTTTAAAATGATCGATTGTTAAAAAAATTAGAAAAACGGTTCACCCTAAAGGCCATCCCTGCAACTTCCCGCTCATTTTGTACTTAAACGCTTCAAACTACACATTACGTTTTTGAGCTCTTCGAGCTCAAAAATATTATTTTTGTGTCAATTTGAGATCTTCGAGCTCAAAACTCTAATAGCAGTTTAAAAACACAATATGAGGTCGAGTCTAGCCACGACGTCAGCGACCTCGTTTCCTCTGGTGTCGGAGAAAGCAGTGCCCCATTCAGCCGATTTAGCGTTGAAGTCTCCGGCTACGATAACTTCACCGTCGAACTTGGTGACCGCATCTTCTATATTTGCCAGTTTCTGTCGGAACACACTAATCCCTTCGTTAGGTGAGAGATAGACGCTCATGAAGTAAGTTGTGGGGTTTGAATCCAGACAAAACCTGCTCCACTTCCGCTGTTGTTGACGGTAACGTTCTTTGTGTTCACAATCCAAATTGCTGCCGTGCCCGTTTCGTCTGCGAACCATGTTTTGCCTTTGATGTTTAGATATTGCTCGCAGATAAAGCAGACGTCAATTTTATCTTCAAAAACACGCTGGCGCAGCAGGTTTTGCACCAAGGCGCACTTATTCAGGTTGCCTAGTAGTATGCGTTTCATTTCTGACCTCTTGTGACTTCTGCAAGTGCTTTGCGGAATGCCTTGCAAGCTCCAATGCCAGAAATATGGCACAGACTATCCTAACCATCTTTGTCCGAAGCACAAAGGAAGCATTTCAGCTTCTCCGTGCAGTTTACGGCCATGTGGTTCTCTCCGCCACATTTGTAACAGCACTTGCTTCGGTCTGGTCCCGCACACTGACGTGTGTGATGTCCATAACCAAGACATTTAAAACAACGTCGTACTTTTACTACTGGGCGTATACGACAGTTCACCAAACCGATCCGCATACGGGCCTTGTCAAGGGCCTTAATCGCACTGGGCTCATCTAATTCGCAGAAGGCTGCCCGATTACCTCGTAGTGTGGGCTTTGTCAAACTGACCCGTTTGACCTCCCGGCTGTCAGTGAATTCACGTTTGAGTGCTTCACGGACTCCGCTCTCGGTAGAGATTTCATCCAGGTCAAGGATCTCGATCGTTGCTGTTGGTGTTAGCGTCTTAACCGTGCCGATGTTTACAGTGGCTGACTTTACTGCATCGCTGAAAGCCTTACTGTCCTCGGTTTTTCGAGACATTTCAAGGAGAACGCCCCCATGTTTCGTCATTTTGATAGACCTTATGTCTACGCCTGTTTCGACAGGGCTTACCTTGGCCTTAATTTCCTTAAGGAGATCGGCGTATGTTCGCCCTTC